ACTTGAATCCGAGCGTAACGCATCGAATAAAACGTGATTTTCCCGGGCGCTGGTTTCCCTCCGGATTCCATACAGTTGATCGACCCGCGCTTTGAGAACGCACCGTGTGTGCCGTGTCACGACGGTAACCTCTCGCACGGGAGTAATTAAACTTTCTCGCTCTTTGTACGTGTAATTCTCCTGGTGACACCGGAGAGTTCACCCGGATGCGACGTGTACCGCGAGCTGTCTATAACTTTCCCGACGACGCGGAGCTGCAATTTTTAAGTCGAACGTACGCAAAGTTAACCGCTCCGAACGGCTTGCATTGTGTATTTACAGGAAGACGCTCGCGGCAGCTGGGAGGTACCGTCCGATGGTATCCGCTCCTTTTGCAACAAAGCGAATGCAACAAGTAAAAGCGCGCGCGCGCGCGATCCGCTAAGTCACCGCTTCCTGTTTATATCGAGCGGCGTAAAAAGAGACGGTAATGCTCGCGTAATGCTCTCGATATATTGATTCCGCTGTGTCATCTTCATCGAGATTCGCCACGAGTAATTTGCGCGGATAGAATTATTCATGAGTTCATTCCGTGCGCCTCGCTAATCAAATGCGTCGATGCTCTTGCAGCGCGAGGCCCACGAGTTCGTCGCGTTCTCCGCACGCCCGGGCTGGAGAATTCGCGTGTCGCGCCGGCCGCCGTCTAATGAGTCAACGAATTGATAGGACTCGACCACGACCACCGCCATATTTTCCCGATGGCCTGTTTGCTCGAGTTACGCGCGGACGACACCCTCCCCGTCGCCCCGGCCCGCCGGGCTCGCCATCGTCGTGAAAAGCATCCGATTGGAACGCGCGGCGAGTGTTCGATCCTTCGTTACGTATGACGCATTGATGAAATTTGCGGATCCGCGCGCTACGGTGTCGCGGAGTTGCGCTGATGAACGACGCGGCTCGTCAGGCTGACAAATTATGGAGTGACTGCAGCCACCGCTGCAGGGTCCGTTCGACTGTTGTGCGAGGTAACGAGCTGACTTTCGTCAGGGACCATATTAATTATCGCGTTATCGAGGACGAAAACAACGAGGCGCCGGGTGATAAGTAAAGAACTGATCGAGGGGCTTAACGGGTTCATCACCACGAAGAACGTCAATGACCGTCGTGTAAGTGACAATCACACTGTTAGAAGCAGTGTGTGAATATTACACACTTTATCGCATGTGATGTGTCCGCCGTTTCAAGACGTCTGTAAGTGTGTGACTTTTTCATGCACGATTGGATGTTTGATTTTATTGGCGTGTGTGACATTTCACACAAATGGAGGTGTATAACTTATTTAGGTGTGTAATTTTCAAGGTGCCAATAAATGTGTAAAAAAGATTGCACTATGTAGCAGATTTTGAAGTATCTCTGCTCCCGTCGTGAGAAACGACAGCGTTATCCGGAACCGTCGTTAGGAACGACAGCTTATTTGTATCGAGGATTCTTCCAGTCAAGGAATCGTCCCGCGACAGGTTACCCCACTGGAATACTCCCCCTGGCTTCCATGCGGGCCTCCTTTTATACCCTACGAGACTGGACTTTGCTTCCGAGTTTTTGGCCGCCACCATGCGCGGCCTAGCGGCGGTCGGCGAACTACTCAGAAGCTGGCGCTCGCGTATAGAAATATTACACATGTGTGAATATTACGTTTGACTATTTCAAACAGTATTAGATGTAGAACAGTATTTGATAAAATCCGCACATTGAAGTGTGTGATTTCCACACATTCTCTAATGCATTTCACACGCGCATGTTAAGAGGATAATGCATGACATTTGAAAAATTATGCATTAAATATGTGTGACGCATTAATATTCACGCATTTCAAGTGCGTGACGTGTTAATATTCACACATGTGTGATAGATCTACTTCTAACAGTGCAAATAAGATATAATATATCACTTATTATATTGTATGTTGGTGCAAGTCAGACACGGAGGGAAGATTCTCTTTTTATGAAAGTTTTTGTGAAATTTTACCGTACATTTTACTAGTAAAATTTCAAAACACTCATAAGATTCTTTGAAATGCCACGTTGTCCCACGATTACATGATTTTCAGGGTAAATTTTAAGGGGAAATTCTCTCTTTATGAGAGTTTCGAAAATTTTACTATACATTCTACCAGTGAAATGTAATACTAAAGTATAATTAGTAGTCAAATGTATAGTAAAATTTCAAAAGCTCTTCTAAAATTCTTCTTTGAAATGCCATGTTGTTCCACAATTACATGACTTTCAGGGGAAATTTTAAGAGAAAATTCTTCCCGTGTACTATAAATTTATTACAATAAATGAACTATTTCATAACGTCAATACGTACCATACATTTTAATTATCAATACGCAAACCTTATGTCACTCTAGACACGTGTCATCGCTGTAACAGCGCGGAAATAAGAATAGAACTATGTAAGTCAACGCAGCGTCAAGGCACCAACAGTTAAAAGCGATGCTCTTAACTGTTAGTTCCTTGATACTGCGTTAACCTACATAGTTCTAGTCTTATTTCCGTGCCGTTACAGCGATAACACGTGTCTAGAGTGACATAAGATCTGCGTATTGATAATTAAAATTGATAATTAAAGATCACACGTCATGCGCCGTTTGAATTAGTGTGATTGCACTTGATAAGGACCAAAATCCATGGCCGAAACATTGCGCGAATAAAGGAAGTTTTCCTGTTGCCAGTGGTGTCGAATTATTCATCTTATTTATTTTAATATTTGCTGGCGGTAGAATATCTTAAATTTAGTTTGAAATACTTCATCTTGTTCTCGGTATAATTGAATTGGCGCGAACGGAAAGTCACGCAGAAAATACGCGTGGTATTAATCGAGACTCTTCCCTGTAAGTTCCTTACGTCCCGCGTCGATTTAGAGATCTTGTAGATCTCGTCGCCGCCGAGAAATCACTTGGCACTGATGTTGCTTGTATTTTTACGGGCTTAAACGCGCATTAGCGAGAAAAATATAATTTGCATAGTACAACATGAGCCGAGGGAATTCCCGATTGTTATTTTATGTGACGTTTTTTCTCATTAAGAATTTTTCGTCACTCAAACACGCGCCCGTATGCTGCCGCTTTATTATCCGATTACAATATTTTGCATTTACAGCATACGTACGCGAGATACCGGTATTAACATTATTAAATAATTGCGCGAGAGTTTAATCCGCGCGAGCTCGCAAGTTCGGAATACGATTTTGTTTTGTACAATTATTTCCATTTTGCTTCTTTTTCACGGAAATAGTTGCCGACCCTCGTGTTTTTGTTGCTTTGCTAACGCGTTTAAGATAACTGACCTCTTTGAATGCACGTTGCACTTACACCACTTACAGCATGTTATTACATGACAGCGTTGTAAGTACAAAGTTACGAGAATTCATATGACTATACGAGTGTTAAACGAATGCCAAGCGATGTGATCAAAGTTTACTTTAACACGATGATGTCGCAGGATATTAAACTGAACTGTTGTCATACTGCAACGTAGTTCTCTGCGCTAACTTTATACACAAATTCAGCCGCTTCACGTTAGTTTCTGGAGAAACTAATTGCTTTGCGTGGCGCAAGCTCTTTTGTAGCTCTGTCGAAATTAAAACCGTAAAAAGCAGCACGCAACGTAATTTTCGTCCGAGGGATAAAAAGTGTTCGCATGGTTTATTAATAGATTATAATAATACCTCCGTGCGCGTCCCATTTGCATTCCCTCTTTCATGCTTTTAGGATATCAGATAAAGGGATTAGTAGAGAAATTAATAATCTAATATTATACGTATGCGTTAAGATAATATTAAATATTTCGTGTTTTCCATCTCCTGCGGTGCCGCGAAGGCGTAACGCGGGAGCCGGGGGCCGAGCGGCAGGTGAAACAGCGGGCGCGAAAAATTTGTTTTCGGACCTTTGCGTCACCTCGGTCGTTATTCGAACCTCCTCTACGAAATCCCATTCCTTAAACGTATGCATGACTCTCGACCGATTCGAGCCTGTTAACATATAAATTGCCGCTTAACGGCGAGACAATCAGTTTCGCGGGAACTCTTGGCAAGAGGGTGACGACGGGGACGAAGACGGACGACACCGAGTGCGAGGGTAAATGAGACAGTACGAGGAAAAGACAGAGAGAGGGAGGGAGAGGAGGCAACGAGAAGGGACGACGGGAGACGAGGGTCACCCCCGAAAGAGTAACGGGGGAGACGGCGGAAAAGACAGAGCGCGCTGGAGAACGGGGTGGTGGGGGGGGGGGGTTAGAAGGGGCCGCCGTCGAAGAGACAGAAACGTGGGGTAGGGCGGCATTCAATTCAATTTCCTAAGAAACTCTTTAGTGTTTGAGATACAGCCGCCGAAAGGATGCGCGCGAGGTTGGATATGTGGTGGAGATGGTGGGCGCGATCGCGGTAGGGGATGGAAGACAGATAAACGGGGCGACCGAGGGGGGAGGGGCGGGCTAAAGTAGAGCTGGATAGGTGGGATAGAGAGAAATCCGGTGGATGGATGGGAGCGCGATCGTTCGCCGCGCGCGAAAGGGAGAAGGAAAGAGGGGGAGACGGCGACACGTCACGGGGGTGGACGGAGCGAGCTGTACGGAAAAAGTGTAATAGTGAGTGAGTCGGAAGACAACTACAGCGATAGAGGGTTGCGTAAAAGAGAAAGAGGTTCCCGTGCGAGTACGGGGGCGGGAATAAGAGGGCGAGAGAGAGAGAGAGGAGTGAGAGGGCGGGAGGAGGGGGAGGGCGAGGCGGGAAGGGACGGATTGATATCGCCGAAAGAGAAGGTAGACGGTGTGCCAGAACGAGGGCGACGGGGGAGGGAGCGCCCGAGCGAGAACGCGGACGGAAGAACGCGGGATAAACGGAGATACGGGAGAGAGAGACTGACTAACTGACTGCGGCCGGTTAGGGGGCGAGGGGGACTAAGGATTCTGTGCGCGGGCGCGAGGCCGGCGCAAACTCTTCGTGCAGCATCCCTCGTCAGTTGCAAGTCAGGAACTATCGCGGCCGCGTGGCACCCGGCGCCGCGCCGCCAGTCTTGCCGATCCCGAGCGCTCTCGCGGTTCCGGCCGATCGACTCCGCGGTGAGACCGCGCCACCCCTCGTTCGCCAGCGAGCACCCCGCCGATCTCGCGCCCGTGCCGATGTCGTCGCGCGCCCGCGCGTCCTCCCGCTCGCGCGGGTAGATTTTCTTCTCTCTTTTTCTTTTCTTTTTTTCATGGGACACGCGGCACCGATCGGCGAGCGGGGATATATGTAGACGGGAAAAGCGTGAGAAACGCGCGCGCGTTACACAGTGACACGGAGAATCCCTCGCGGCAGAATGGATAAAGACTCACGCCGGAAGTACACAGAAATGCTATGTGGTCTGCTCCACCTGCTGCTGATAGTGGGGGGTAAGTTTCATTGTACAGTGTTAAGTTCGGCAGGGAGGTTTCCCTCGAGTGATTTGGATGCCGCGCCGATTGTCGCGCCGGCGAGAGGCGTTCTCCAACGACTTCTGGTCCTCGAGCGGAAGAACCGTTGAAGTGAATCCTGCTCTTTCGCCCGTTGGTACGCAAGTAAAGGGGGGGGGAAGTGGGTGAAAAGAAGGAATTTCCCCGGCTAGTGGTAATTTCGAGGCTGGAAGGGACTCTTTACTTTTAAACAACGCTCTCCACGTAGAAGAGGACGGTCTTTGATGAAAGTCCCGAAGTACCATGCGGTTCGGTTTATATTACTGAAGGACGTCGGGTGCACGTAGCGACGGGGAAAGAGCGGATAATGTTCGCTCTTCCGTATCGCGCCAAGAAGGAGGGACATAAAACGGTTAAGTTCCCACCAAGTTGAGCCTGCGAAGAGTCGTTAAAGGAGTCATTGGAGCCCTCGGCCCTCTACGCGCCTCCTCCTCGGTTGGAAGCGCCTCACCAAGTTCCGAGATCCGGGAAAGGACGCGGGATGCCCCGCGTTCTCGGTGAATAGGCGGTCGTTCGCGGCCGCTCTACGATCGGCACGAACGACATCATTACAGCCAAGTTCGGCTCGCGCAAGTTAGATCACGTCGGGATTGTAATCGGGGCCTTTCACTCGCCGACGCGCTCTCGTCGATATTACCACTGCGATCCGCTGTTCCCCGTCTCGAGTACCGAGGGCGCTCGAAGATATCGGCGATATTACTCGCGCTAAACTTTATTGGCGGATAAAGAGCGGTGAAAATCCCGCCTCTACACGGGCCGTAAATAACATTTAATTGATCATATCTGTTTGCGCTCCTCTTAAACGGACCGAAGTGTATTATACGTTGCTGCAAACCGGAGAAGATTGCAGCGCGAATGTTTTGCTCTGATTCGCGGTATCTTGGACGCGTGCCATTTCACCAGGGGGTGACTCTTATGGAATAACAGTTTTGATATCGGCCTTGTTATAGACGAGCTTACTAAAGTTTAGTTTTACTTTGTCGAAGTAGGTCGAGCGCTTCGCAATGCTCATAGTTAGGAGCTACAGCGGAGGGTGATAGTCTTCTTACAGTCCTTCGACGTGAATCACTTTAAACGACTCCCCTTTCTACTCCAATTAGAGCCAGATATTTGTTTTTGGTAAAATTGCCACGTACATGATTTTACGCAAACTAAACGGCAAGTGAAGACGGGAATTGGAGTTTAGTCGGATTAAAGTTAAAATTTCACGCCCGGGAGAAAGTACGATTCTGGTGCACAAGAGCAACTGCTACGTGACGATTGAAGAAGTTAATAAAGTAAGTTAAAGTGAGTGGAAGTGAGTCAGTGAACGAGTTTTTACATGTCCATGTGGACTGACGTACGCGTTCAATGATGTAAAAAACGCAGCCGGCGAGAACCTCCGGAACTATTCGAGATATATTAAAAAAAACTATTTCTGGTTTTCGCGTTTGGAAAAAGTTGCGTGCGTGTATGCATGTCTAGATTGACCGGCCGCGAGTTTGAACCTGGCGAAACGATCTACACGCTGAAACATGAAATGTCCTCGCCGTCAAACAATTAAGTGCGACAGTCATTCGCGTTTTAGAAATGAGAAATATTGAAGTCCTCACGTAAAAGTTAAATGATATATCAAATTCATTCCTTTTCTCTCAATACTTTTATAAAATAGCGGTCGCTCGGATTTTTTCAAATATTTAACGCACGTTAAGTTTTCAATAAAGAAATTCCAAAAGTTCGAATACGTATTTCGAATGTTGAAAAGATTCCTAATTAAAAGAGTAATCGATGAAAGGCGTAAAAATACGTTTAAAATAATAAATCACTTTTATACTTTATCCTTTTGAAGACCCGAGGGGCGGAGCCCGTTGGATAACTCGCGATCTGCTGAAAACGGCGGCAACTGGGGTGGTTAATTTATAATATAATTGAGTCTTTACTCTCGTTCACCTTTGCCGTTGTTACAAAATTGATATAAATTCGTTGAAGATCGTCGCGCATACCGAAAACGCGGCGCGCCTCGAGACGTTTTGCTTATACTTGTTATTTCAAGTTCCCTACTAACGTAAAATTTATCTTCGTGCGTTGCAGATTGAGGAAATTTCATAGACATATCGTATAGTTTTTATGCCTCTCTCGAGCGAAATTCACCCTTGTATTCTGAGAATTTTCGCGAAACAACATGCTACTTTCGCGATGTAGAACTGGGTTGTTTCCGATGAGACAAATTCTCCCGACTGAATATTTGCCCTCCGCTGGACCGCTGCTTTTCCACACGATTGCGTCGTGCCGTGAAAAGGCGAACGGATACGTGAGAATTCTTGGGCGAGCGAGAGAGACGGGAGAAGAAAGTCGAGATAGAACAAATCGTGGCGAACGCGCACCGGAATGCAGACATATCCGAGATATACTCGCCTGCCTCGCCATCTTCTCGCAGATACTTTACCTCCGTGACGCAGCTTCCGCGTTCTAAACCCGCGTTCTCTCTTATTGGAAAAATACAGCGTTCAGTACGTCGATGACGCGATTTATCTCCCTTTTCGGGGACGTCGCTTTTAGGATAGAGATTTCTGCACTCAACAATTTCGCGCTAGCGTGTCTGGCTCTTTTCTATTTATCTTACAAAATCCTGGTGTTTTACAAAGGCGCATCGTATTTTCCCATAATCGAGCTTTGGCTCCGCGAGAGAAGTAAGAACAGTATCCTAAGAAAATTTTCCTTTATTTCTATCTGATGCCGCGATATTTTCGAAATGAGCGTGTTTGCTTCCGAGAGTGCACCATATTTTCGAATGCTTCTATAAACTCCGCTCACTCTGCGCGCAGTTTCAGCATAAAACGTTTGTTATCTCTCACAACTTTATCTACGGCTGTGCTGCTTAGTTCTTCTCGTGTTTTATTGCGATTGTTAAATATTTTTTAACGGGACACGCAAATTCGCGCTCGCGGATGCGCAGCAGCGCGTTCGATTCAATTTAAACACGTGCGGATATAATCGTTCATTATTAATTGCCCACATAAATTTACGCCGAGCTGACGCGAATGGCAGCTGCCCCGTGAAACCCGAAACACTTTCTCCCGTGCGAGTGCAATTGCATTTCTTTCAGCACTCGAACGTCCTTGTGAGCATAGCTGGTACAATCCGCGACTCGACGGCAGGCTTTAATAAAATCAATCTTCACCGATCAACTGCAATATGTTGATTTATTTTCCAATGTAAATTTTAAAAGCTATTCGATGACAAGAACGAATTGATCTTCCTCGCTCGTCAGCGGCTGGGTTATTATTTGTTGAAATGTTTTAATCTTTTTCCCGCTGTCGGTTCATCATGTGTTACGTTTGCAGAATGTCACTGGTATTTCCACGTTTACCCTCGCAGTGTAAACACACACAAACATCTGCAATCGGAGTGTCCATCTCTGACAATTTTTTTTAATAACCTTTCGGCTAAACTTTCAATGGAGCTTTCACCGTTGCACAAGAATCGCGCGTATATTGATTTGTTGTAAAATTTATGTCATCAATTACAATAAACATCGTTGACATCGATGATTTACATAGGGATGCTGGAGTGATTCTGTACTTTCGGCACCTTTCGCTCCTAGAACTGTCAATTCGTGAAAACATTTGTGTAATATACAAATTATGTGGCTTTTGTATACCAACCGACAGTGTTCCACTATTCGAACTAGATCAGAGAACAGCATCCCTAACAGCACAGAAATATTTTAAAAGGTTAAATATATTTTCAAATCTTTTTAAAATACTTTATAAATATTTTAAAATATATTGAATCTTTTAAAATATTTCTGTGCTATTAGGGATGGTATCATTGAAATTAAATTTAGAAGCCTAACAAGAGGTCTTTCTACTCGAATAAGTTATAGGTTACCTAACCTATAACTTATTCGAGTGAATAGATTTTTTGTTAGGCTTCTAAACTTAATTTCCATGATACCACGCTGTTCTTTCACTTAATCCGAATAGTGGAACACTGTCGGTCTATACACAAGAGCCACTTAATTTGTATATTACACAAATGTTTTCACGAATTGTTCTAGGAGCAAAAGGTGCCAAAAGTGCAGAATCACTCCAGCATCCCCTTAAAACATTAAATAATCGCAAAACGTCTCGCAATATCGTCGTCGGCGTTTTTCGCGAATAGAGAATAATAATAGTAATAATACTCGTTCCTCTACAGATTCTTTCTGCAGTGATATTACATTCCTAAACGTAGCGGATTTAATTCATTCCGTATAAAAACAGCGCTACGAGAAAAGACTTTCAAGCCGCTTTGTTCTCGATATCTTATCCAATAATGTGAATCTCAATCTGCTAATTGCGCTCCCTTCTTAATTGGTTGTCTCGTCTCTTAATCTCCTTATTAAGAATTTATCAAAAGAGGGAAGCGAGCGGGAAAACGGGGCGACATATTAACAATTCCGTTTTCACATACCGAGGAAGTTTTGCCTCCGAATCGACAAAAGCGCCAGGAGACTCTTTCGCGTGCAGAAGGGAATCGTTCGAAGCGATCGCCCGCGAGTCAGTAATTATTACATCTGTTGCGACCTAAGCACCGATGTCTTAGCAAACTCGGCGCGCAATTCTGTCAGACATTACTTCTAATTACCTTATCAAATTAACCGCCCTTCCTTTATTCCGCCTCGCAGCAACAGCTGCAGTTCGAGCGGCAGAGACACGGCTTGATAGCACGGATCAAATTTTGACCAATTACTTCCGCCAACGTCGCTTTTATCGTTTACGACCGACGCTAATGAACGGAAACTTGGAGGCGCTTGTTATTCGGCGCAAACTTTGGCCTTCGTTAACCGAATTCAGTGCGTATTCGAATAATAAACACTAAAATATCGGCTCCTGCGTACCGCTCGCGATTTCGCGCGCGTAAAATTCCATTCTTTTCCTCGCTCCGTTCGAGCGTAGTCAACATTTGGGACGCTGGGT